CGGCTCGCTGGCCTCGGCTCCACAGCGAACCACACACAGCACGCCCGGCCCCCGCGGCTGCCGCTTATCTGCCTTACGGGGCGGAGACCGGCCCCCGCAGCCCAGGTTCTTATTGGTCTGCGGAGCATCCAGAACTCCCTCCCGACCAATTCGCAACTTTCTTTTCCTTTTCCGAAGATTGATTGGTCAATGGGCGTGGCGATTCCACCTAAGACTCCACCCCCACTCCGCCCCCGGCCTTCTTCCCGAAGTCCTTGGGAACATAGATTGGTCCTTCGGAAAGTAGGCGGGTCTTCCGAAGCCGCCAATGAGAAAACGAAGAAAAGGGGAGCGTCACACCAAGCCCCAGGTAGTATGTAAATATGCCACGTGACGTTAGGCTGAGTTGGGGGGGCGGGGCCGGGTGTAGGTTGGAGTCGGCACTGGTGAAATCATTATGGGGGCTGGGGAAGGTGTCAAACTTCCAGCAGTTGGGCGCCAGCAGCACAGAGAGAGCGTTAATTTCTGAAAGCATAGCATTCTTTTCATCTAAAAACATTAGTTTTGAATCCTCATAGAATATCAATGTTGCTTGCAACCGCCAAATTAGTCTGCAGATTAATGGCAAGTTTGCATCTTATTTGCATATGGTTTGCATAACAGTCATGCACTTAATGGCTCCTGGGCTCTTGTGACACCTACATTTGTCTTTCTTCACGTTTCCAGGTCCCTACTTGGTTTTAGTCCAACTTAGGGGGAAAAAAGAAACAGCTGCTAGCCTGCAAATTAACTCGGGACTGAAAAGGCGCAGGGAATTTCCCTTCACAGTCGTGCTTTCCACGTCTCCAGCTCAGCAGAGTGGAAGGAACAAAGTGACTGAAGAAAGGGCCCGAGTTGGTACAGTGACTCCATGAGGAAACCGAAGTCTTCCCAGCTGAATGCTCTCTGATCTATGTCAAAATGACACTGAATCACCCCCCCAAAAGTTGTGAAAGTCACATGCTATGGAGTAACTTTGAAGGCACGAGTACAGAACATTGCTTCTAGGATATTCTTAGAATTATGCTTGCTATTTATCAACCATTGTGCTCTATATACATGAAAAAGAAAAAAAAAAAGCAAAGGCAATCAGCCCTGAATTGCCTGTTAAGGGACCACTCAAATAATTGAATAATTCCCTTCAGGTTAACATTTCGCTATGAATTCTATTTTTAAGCTTGTAACAGATCTTTCTACTTCTGTTTTTGCTCGGTTTAATGTTAAAATTAAGGGATTCCCTAAGGGCAGAGAAGAGGAGGTGATCTGGGAGCATGCTGGCAAGGTGAGGTCATTCTGGGATTAAATACTCAGAGCAGATAATGCACAAAGTGGAAATTCAAGAGTTGGCTGGATATTGCAATCAGCCTAGAGACACAGAGTGAAGGGAAGCGGTGGGACCTCCTGAAGAAAGGTGTCTGCAGAGCGCACAGTGCCTGTTTGGAGGGTTTCATTCAAGATCTGGCATTCTGAATCTCTTTTAAGTGACTGAGAAAATGCTGAACTACTTTTCCATTAGGGGACAGGCAGAGGAATGAAAAAAACTGATGAAATACAAAAACTCACTTTGTATAAACTCAGTTCTCATACACCACCCACCAAAAAAAACCACTGCTGCAGAATCATAGAAATCTTTATTAAATATATATATAAAACAATTGTTTCTCAACGTAGCTATCCCATCTAGGTCTATATACTTTTGAAGGCAGTGTTTCCATCTCTCTAACCCTTTTCTGAAGAATCCTGCACTTTTCTAAAAAATATTAGTTGGGATTTAATACATATAACATTCCATATTTCAATCATGTCAAGTAGAACTGTACAATTGCTACCACAATCAGTTTCCAATCATTCTTTTTCCTCTTTGATTTATGCCAACTCAAAACAGCAGTTTTAGACAGCCTCTGGGGACTCAAATTATGTGCCTTTTAAACTTTTAAATGTTCTTGAGCTTGGAGAACACAAAGAAATCTGTAGGAGTAGGATGAGGCTCAGGGTAGAGGGGTGAGATTTTCCAGCCCTCGGCTGCCCTGGAAGGAGGAGCAGGCACATTGTCAATGGCTCGCTCCTTGGCACAAGTTTCCTGGCCTCTTTCCTTATCAAAGCAGTTTCCAATTTTCTTAAAAATCACCAGTGTCATCCTTTGGGAAAACTCCTATCAAAATTACCCATTTGGAGTTCCCCTCAAAAAGTCACTATCACCTTCCAAACTGACCTCTCTGCCTTGAATGTAACTGGTCCAACAGATCCCCTCAGAAGCCATTATTTTGAGTAGGCCGGGTTTTTTTTAAAGCACTCTCATGAGAGAGGCTAAGTGTGCTACCAAGAGAACGGATCACAGACACGTTCAAACCCATTTCCTGTGGAATCAACCTGTGCACTTATGAAAAGGAACCCTAGTACCGATACTTCTCACCTACCTCAGGACAACCACAAAGGCTTATTGAGAAGATGCTTTAAGAAAATGGAAACTTCCACTGGCCAGGAGAAGGCCAAGAATGTTGTGGTTGGATTTTTTTATTCTTCCCATCACAGAAAATCTGCTCATTCTTTCAGGGTGGCAAGGCCTCTGCTCCAAGAGTTTTGTTGGGACCCTCTCACCCCACCTATGCTACCGCCTCTGCAAACCCAGAGAATATTTAAAAGGAACATGATTTTAACACCTCTAGAGGATGCCTCAAACTGCTGTTTGGATGTGGTGTAAATCAAAGAGCAGAATTCTTCAGAGGAAGGGTTAGAGAGGGGAAACATTGCCTCCAGACATACGCACACCTACACGCGGACTGATGTTGAGAAACAAGAGCTTCAGATTTTGATATTTTGTTTAATAAACATTTGTATGATCTTATTGCAATTTTTCTTTTACTTACCATCTGTGCTCACATCTCTTTATGTATGTAAGGGGGCTTGAAAAAGTTTGTGGGGAAATTCCATTGTCTTTTAATTCTATTTTTTTCCATAAGCTTTTTGAAGGTTCTCTGAATTTATCTTACATTTATATTGTTCCTCAGTCCCTAATAGTTCGAAGTCTTTTTTTTTTTTTTAGAAAAAAAATTCTCAGAAGCATCTTTCCACCACCACCCCCAGGAGAATCTCCCCGCCCCCCGACCCCCCGCCCCAGGAGAGTCTTGAAGAGAAAAAATAACCCATGAATTCCTGCCAGAGTACAGGTTGGGAAACTGCAATCCAAAGAAATGCAACACCTTTGGACTCCTAGCCCAGCTCTTTGTCCATCATTGACCACCCTGTCGCACAGCTTGACCAGGAAAATCAGTCATCGCGGGGCGCTAACAACCCGAGTTCCTTTCTCCACGCAGGTTTGTGCTGAGCGCTGTGCATGCATTCTCCCATGATGCACATGTGGCTGTTATCTCTCTCAGTGAGGCTTCAGAGACAAGTATCTCCAGGGCCAAAACTCCGAATCTCTGTGCTTGTGACACTTTTCTTACGAACACAGGATTTCTATTGATCTTTCACATAAAGAGTCTCCAAAGATGCCAATCTGGCTGAGAAGGGGTTAAAGTTAGTTCACAACGGACTGGTACTTTATACCTTTCACATACATCATCCTATCTCATTCTCACAATGGGAACGCAACGTAGAAAGTGCAGTTAGATTGTTGCCCCATTTTACAGACGGCTAAATCACAGGTGTTAAATTATTTACCCAAGACCATCCACTTAGTGAATAGATTACCAGCACTTACATCCCAGGTACTTTCACTTCAGATTCAAGGACCTTCCCGATCAACACTCATCATCAGGCCATTGTCTTGACTGAGGGCAAAGCAGGTGGGCCAGTCCATGTCCAGAAGTCTGGTCTGGCCTGACAACATGTAGCCTTTGAAGGCTCATATACAAGTCCTCAAGCAGTTTTAGGAGAGGAAGAATGGCTTTTAGTGGCTGAGCCACACAGTTAATGTTTTAAAGGTAAAAACCCAAGGAGAGGAATGAAGCGTTTGGGCCAGTGGCTTCAAACCCTTGTGCTAGAATTATCCCTGCTCTCTTAACCTCACAGGCTTGTTCTGTAGATAAAGTGAAATATTATAGTACCAATACATTCTTTCCTTGGAGAGAGGGGCCAATGGGTGGGCCCAAGGGCATATGGTTGAAGCCTTGTGCTCCAAAGCCAAGCTACCAGGGATCGAGGGTTTGGATAAGGGAGGGCGAGCCAGGGGGGTGGCACAGCTGAAGAATTGGATTTTCTGAGTCCAGAGAGTCATGGTCTTCCCTGATAAACACATTGCTGGCAAAAGACACTAACGTTGGCCCTGGCTGGGGGAATAAGAAGACAAGCATGTAGGAAACAACGTGGTCCTCCCCTTACCAAATATCACACCCAACCAGCTGTCTCTTATTCCCTTCTCTATCACGGACAGTGTCTCTGGCATAGGCATGATGGGGAGATAAGAACCTCATCTGAAGATCAACGCCTG